TAAAAATTGGTATTTATTTATTATTTATCTTTTGTAAATTGATAAATATTTATATTGGAACCGTTAAACAAAAAAATACATTTATTTATATATTTATAAGTTTTGCTACCTCATTCTTAAATCTAGGATGCCCTTTTCTTCTACTCCTTGTTTATTATGCTAAACTAACATGTACAAATCGAATTTTTCTAGTGATAATCACATTTTGCGAAGAAACAAACTACAACATGTCGTGTTTGAGGTCTTCACCAAATCTTTACAAGAAAAAGTTCTTCGTCTTTTGAGTTAGTTGCACAGCCTCTGCTTTTACCCTGTAAAGCGGACTTTATGTTTGCATTCAAGCTGTGAGACGCTTGACTGTAGACTGCGAAGCATCATTCTTTACATTAATCAACATCTGGATGTCATACTTAAACGTGGGATGCCCTTGTCTTGTACTCGTAGTTTCTTATGCAAAACTGACATGTACAAACCGAGTTTATCTGGTGACAATATAACATTTTTGCAACATTTACCCAAGAGAAACTACGACACGTCATGATTGATGTTTTGGTCAAATCGTCACACGATAAAATAGTAGTCAAAGGTGAAGTGAGTCTGCGCAGCGTATGCTTCTCACCTGCAGGAGGAATATATGTTTGCCATCAGTCCGCGAGACACTTGTCTAACATCTGCATCTCGTTATCTGTGCGTTTATCAACACCAGCTCCAAAAAAACGGCGAAGTCTTTTTATCATTCTCAAACATAGGAGGCCCTAGTCTTGTCCTATAAATCGAGTTTATCTGGTGACAATATAACATTTTGCGATATTTACCCGAGAGAAACTATGGTATGTCGTGTTTTATGTCTTGGCCAAATCATCACATGAGTTGTCAAAGATGAAGTGAGTCTGCGCAGCCTCTGCTTCTCACCTGCATATGCAGAAGAAATATATATATATATTCGCCATCAGTCCGCACCTGTCTAACGTTTGCGTCTTGTCATCTATGCGTTTATCAACATCAGCTCCCAAAAAAAAATGTCGCAATCTATTATCACTTTGAAACATGAGACGGCAATGTCTTGTCCTACAAACCGAGTTTATCTAGTGAAAATATAAGATATTTGCAATATTTACCCAAGAGAAACTGAGGCACGTCGCGATTGATGTGTTGGCCAAATCGTCACAGAATAAAATAGTAGTCAAAGGTGAAGTGAGTCTGAGCAGCCTCTGCTTTTCACCTGTAGAAAGAATATATGTTCACCATCAGTCCACGAGACGCTTGTCTAATGTCTACGACTCATTATCTGCGTTTATTAACATTAACTCCCAAAAAAGTGCAGTCTTTTGTCATTCTTAAACATGAGATGCCCTTGTCTTGTTCTACAAACCGAGTTTATCTGGTGACTCTATAATATTTTTTGCGACATTATCCGAGAGAAACTAGGGCACATCGTGACTGATGTCTTGGCCAAATTGTTACAGGATAAAGTAGTAGTCAAAGGTGAAGTGATCTGCGCAGTCTCCGCTTTTCACTTATGTATTTATCAACATTAGGTCCCCAAAAAAAACGCCGCTGTCTTTTGTCATTCTCAAACATGAGATGCCTTCGTCTTGTCCTGCAAATTAAGTTTATCTGATGACAATCTAACATTTTAATATTTACCCCACAGAAACTACAACATGACGTGAATGATGTCTTGACCAAATCGTTAGAAGATAAAGTATTCAATGTTATAGTTAGTCTGCGCACTCTCTTCTTTTCACCTGCAGAAGAACTTTCGAACTATGTTTGCTATCAGTATGCATGCCTAGCGTTCTCCACGATTGTTTTCTTTACATAAATGAACTCTCAATTATACAAGAATTATTGTCAAAATTCATTTTTTGCATAATAACTTTCACTTATAAAGGAGTAATCTGCAATTTTAAATTGTCTAAAATAACATAGACATACCTTTCATTTGCTATAATTATTCTCTTGTGTTAGTCTATGTAGTCTCTGCTTTTTACCAACAATATTACAAATACTGAACTATTATTGAGCCTAATTAAATGATAAATAACCATTTTAATATAAATAAATATAATTAAATAATTCTAAATAGCTAGAAAATAATGTTGATTTTTAAAATTGTTATTAAAAAAAATTAATGTTTGACAATATTTTTCTGTAATGAATTATTTTATAACCTTTTTTTTGTAAGAATATTAAAACACAAAACACCTATCTCGTGATTGCGATTCAACAATTATTTTCGTTATGTTTGTCCAAGAAACAATATCTATTTTGTTTGTGGGAAACTATAATTGTATTTGCAAGAGGAAATAAGAAACATAAAAAATGTATATGCACTATTATATTGTATACATTCGTTATGTCCCACGTTTCATCAGCTTCCACTTGCACTCGTTAGCAGTGGAGGAGGGTACAACTTTTGCACGGTCAATCAGTTCATAGATTTATTTGTTTGCTTCTATAATTTGTTTTTATTTAATTTCGTTTAATCTTGCACTTCGACTAGAAGCAAACAAATAAATCTATGAATTGATTGATCAAAATAAATTCATTACTTAGAGCATCTCTAATAGATTCCATATAACTTCAAATATTAAGTTTGTAGTACTCCAAGAGAAACTTTAAAATTTCAAAGTTTGAAGTTTCACATTTTTATTTGTATTTCAGTCCCTCTAATTATATACTATATGAATGTTTATATTTTAGTTTTGTTGTTTATCACTTTAGTCTATATAATTTTAGTATTATATATATATATATATTATATATATAATATTTTTGAATACAGATTAAATAAAAATCTTAAAATAAATTCAGAAAAAATATTATATATTATTATAAATATTTTTATTACACAACAACAATTATATATAAACCAATTTAATAAAAAATACAAGAAAATAAATTAAATAAATACATAAATATTACACAAATTGAAATACTACAATAAAACTAATATTCAGGTAACTTTGAAATGCATTGATTAATCATATACGAAAGCACTATGGAAGTAGTTTTATTGAATAATTTGATATTTTATTTGTAATTTATAATTTAGTATGTGTATATTATGTATTTTTATATTATTATGTAATTTTTATTGATTAGTATTGATTGTAATCTTTTTATATGTATGTTTTAGTTATTTATAAAAGTTTTATAATGTTAATTAATTATTATCAATATTGTGGACTATAATGCAATATATAAATAGTTTTGAAATCTTTTTTAAAGTTTACCATTGGAGAGTAACACCTCCAAACTTCAAATTTGATGTTTTCCAAACTTCAAATTTGAAGTGTCTCTTGGAGATGCTCTTAGTTAATAGATTCTCCAAAATAACCAAAAACAAAAAAAACAAAAATCAAAAATCATTTACTTTAAAAAATTTGTACTCAAGAGGTCTTTTTTTAAAAAAATATCTTGTAGCCGTTTGGAATCTCTCTTCATCTTTATACTCTGTCATTTCTTAACTTTTTTTTTGTCTTAGAACCTTATATTTTGTTTTGGCTTGTTAGATGAATCACTAATCAATGAGTAACACTAACCTTTAAGGTGGAAAATGTTTACCTAAAAAAATTTTAGTAACTAATTTCAATAAAATTATATCTTTACGAAAAATAAAGTACAGGTATAAAAAGTAAAAACAATAGTAAAAACATGTAAATAAAAAAATTTCTTCTGAGAAAGAATATTCTCTGTATCTAGTGTACTAGGTGGTTTGCCCGCACGTCTGTGCAGGCCCAAACTATCAGCAAAATTTTTTATAAATAGATCAAAAACAAATAACGATGCCCATAAACAAAAACAAAAAAACAAAAAAAACTATTATAACCGACCATGTTATTATCATCCCAAAATATAGTAGTCATATTAATAACTAAATGTTATTATCGCTCATAACGTCACAAAGATTTTTGCTTCTACAAATGGAGGCTCCAATGAAACTTGTGAACATTTGAAAGTGGTTTCTACTCTCCAATAACCATTCCTTCGAACAATCGATACAAACCTCATTATACAGATAGCGAGCTGCTGATTGCATGACAACTAAGCTTCGAGAAAATCCTCTTAATATTTATTTTTCAAAAGTACTGGAACTCGTGAGCCACTGTTACCATTGTAATAGATAAATCGCTCATTATCACCCAAGAATCTTAATTGGATCATCAACATGCACCAATAAAAGTTAGAAAAATGTACCATTCATCCTCAAGTTCAAAAGTTATGTCTGTTCGCTTACAAAAACTAAGCGCATGAAATCCTCTAAAATTACCAACATTAACAACTCGACCGATTACGTCTGAAATACAAACACTATATGAGTAATTTAGATTAGCCCAACAAAACTAAACACAGCCAATAGAACTCAACAATACAGACATTGGGATCCATACATTCATCTTTAATGGCTTCGATATTTACAAAAGAAAAACGGCTGGTAATACCTGCGAAAGGAGTCTTAACAACTACCGTACGTGGCAGACAATGGATCATATAACTGTGCATACTTGGTCGAAACTCTCTAAAAACATGCATTAGTTCGAAATCACACAACATAATCCAATCACCCTCACGAATCTGCGATACGAATATAGACGCTATATTTTCGCATAATACTGCATGGATTTTATCACCCTACAAAACATTCACTCTAGCACTCCACCTATGATTGAACGGTTCCAACTCAGACACATTGTAGAGAACCTTGTCAAATTTTTGATAAATACTTCTCGAGAGTAAAAGCATGTCCATTGGTAGAAACCCATATGGGGTTGTTAAACATTTTTTAATATAAATTTTGTTTTTTTTTTTTTTTCTAAGAACCTTTGTATTTGATTTAAACTTTTTGCTCTTCCATTGGTTGAATCTCTAGTTGGGTATTTTAAAAAAAACTAAAATTTACACCAAAAGCTGGAGCTCACAATTCCACCAAAAACTGAAGATCCCCAGCATAAAGACTGCAGAGATCCCGACACGCTTTGTGACTCACCACGAGCTCATTCTACGACCATTGACTCTACTACCTATTAAAAGTTCACCACCCAAAAATTCAATCTCTGTTTTGCAACTCACTCGAGAGACCTTAACCAGAGTCAACTAAACCACTTAATGGGTTAGAAAACTTACAACATCAGAAAAGGTGACTGAAAGGGAACCGAGAAGTATACAAGAAGCAGCACTGTATTTACTGTCGACAAAACCAGCCATCAAGCTCCAGGAAAATGCACCAAGAAGTCCCGAGAGAACTAGATATGATCTCCTTCGGTAGCCAAATAAAAGCACAGAATCACTGTGAAACGGTTCAAGTTCCTTAGACAATGGTCTCTGAAGATATAATCAAAGTGTTAGCAAGTACAGAGGTGATGAAGGAGCCATACCTAATAAAACCGTAGAGAGGCTTAACAAGCCATGGCAGTGAAGAAAGACCCATTATCACAGCTGTCTAGTCATGAAAGTCTGGAACTTCAAAAGCACATTACAAGGACATACCTCTGCAGGATCAAGATACTAATTTCTAATTATATTAATTTCACTTATATTAATAAATTTTGCAAAACATTACAAGGACATACCTCTGCAGGATCAATATGCAAGTCGTCTTTTAAATAGAAACTAACAGCGAGCCTCGCGAGTCCTAAAACACCTTGAACAAAATACACCATTGCTACTGCAAAATTGTCCGGTGATAATTCAATACCGAAAATTTTGTTCCTGCTACTAAGGTTTCTTCCTTTACGAGGCTGTGTTCTAATGAAAGTATCTCTGTCTCCTTCTTCATCTGTCTTTGATATATCTCCTTCAGCTACATCTATAAATACAAAACATTTCTCACATTGTAATTGAGCTTGCTGCAACAAAAAGCTCACTTATCAACAAACAAAATGGCAATTAATGGTCTCACGATTCCTGTAGTTACTCTTATCCCGAACTTATCCCGAACTTTGATTGTTACTAACAAAATTAGTCACAATTCACTACCTTTTCGTATACAAAAACTTGAAAGCAATAGAAATTGATGAAAGACGAAAGAAGCTTACTAATTCTAGAATCTAGAAGCAGGTTTTCCTGTGAATCCCGCCTGCGAGGAAGCTCCGGGATTGGAACTATGGCGGAGATGTCTTTTCTATCCGAAGGTCTCCTATGAATCTTCGAATCTTGAAGAAGAAGAACGAGTAGAGATGGTGATGATCAGAGTCCGAATTGTTTGGATTTAGAGCTCTGATCGGAATTATGAATCGGGAAAGACAAAATCATCGATAGGAAAAGAGATAGTCATCGATAGGAGAGAATCACGGCCACATTATTGGGCTTTTTTCTTTTTTTAAAAAATATAAATAGATGGATTAAGGAGAGACTGACACATATGGGTCTTTTAATTATTCCGAAACACCTTCAATAAGAGACGACTCTAACCAATTTTACAGTTTAATCATTTTTTAATTATTTTTAGCTTAAAAACCCTCCTAGCAAACCCTCTACATACCCCGATGGAGATGGTCTAAGTGAGCCATGGGGTTCTTCGATCTGTAGACGTTAATAATATCAAAGTGAATTCAGTTATTAACAAAAGATTAGTATATAAGAAGAAGTAAGTAAATAATCAACATAGCTAAAATTCCATTAAGTAAATATATATATAATATTTGCTATATAATATCCTTTTTTCGGAAAAGATTAGTACATATATATACTAAGAGAATATATCTATAATATACATAAATTGCAGGGCTTATAGTCAATTAATATTTATCCATGATATACTTTTTCCTATTTCGAATATTTCCTTATGCCGTTATATGACAATTTAAAGATATAATTGGAACAAATATTACGAAAATATGAATTTTGTATAATATTCCTTTTCGAAAGAAGCGGAATTCCATAGATGGAGAAAAATTACTAAATTACGCAACTTCTTATAATAAAATGAATAAGACACTGTGAAAGATAGAGATATATTAATGCAAATAATGAAATCATTAATACCACCGTCTTTAGAGTTATCTTAAGTATTACATACGCAAAAATAAAAATCACACTTTAACGAAAACTTAAATCTTCGCACCGAGTGTTTACCGACTCCAAACCAGCATCGATGCTCAAATGTTTTCTTGCTAACCTGCAAAGTATTTTTAAAGTTATGACTCAATAATACAATGAACAGGAAGAAACTCAAATCTAATCGATAAACTTACAGAGATCTGAATTCGGTAACTTCTGCGAAGCAGGGATCCATCATGATCTTAGTAGGATGAGCCAAAGATATAACAATATTACCTATATATAGGTAACCAAAATTTTAAAACAGACTTATTTTAAAGAATAAATATCAAATAGTACAAACATTCGTAGATATCAACGATCACCCATCTTGCAACCAGTATGGAACATGCAAGCATCATTGTCAAACATCTTGCATTTGATACGAACATTGCTGCATAAATGAAAGCAAGTGTGTTAAATCAAATACTAAAATTTAAAATCCCAAGAAACAAAATTATAGTTACAACAACATACCTGGGAATCATTAGTTCAAATGCTATCATTGCACATCCACCAATTCCCTTATGAACACAATGTCTCGTTGAGATTTTCAGCTTTCTAACATTGAAAACTTTTCCAATTAAATCTAAAATACACACAATTTACACAGTCAATATTCAAAATAAACTATATTAATGTCGAAATTTACAGAAAGCGGATACGAACATACCAACCAAAGAAGTACCGATAGGAACCTTGCTGAGAATCCTCTCAAAGTCAACGAACTTGGAAAAATTTCGTTCAGACTGATAATCTTGCATATGAACAATGGTTGGACTAACAATAAGCAAGTGAACATGATTAGATGTAACACTAAATGGGTGATCCGTACAACAATAACAAATTTTTTAATTGTAACCCAAACACCCTCGCGTAACTGAGGCAAAAAACAATCATAATCATTAGCGTGAACTGTACCACATATCTCCACGCCCTGCATCGTAATATTTAATTAATAATGAAATAACAACCTATGCAAAACTACACACCAGAGTTCACTAATTCAACAACACAACATGAACCTTGTTATCACAAAAAATTAATTCCAGTCTTACATCATATGGATCAAACGAATTAGTCCACACTCGTAATATCTTCAGCAAAACAGCTGTCTCGACAAAACCAGGACTCAAAGGTGAAACACCAAAAGAAGATGGGTCAAACGGATTTGATTTTTGCGTAGACTCCATGCCAAAAAGCAAGCTAGTGGATATTATATGTCTATTATAGAGACTGAAACAACTAAATATAAAGAGTATATATAACAAAGATTACAAATAAATATCTAGTATTTAAAATAATATGTAGATAGATACGGTATCCAACAATATATAAATTCCGATCGGTTAACATTAACAACGGACATATTACCTTTAATAGAAGATTTACATATAAAATTGAGATATTCAAATCTATCGAATATAGATCCACATACACGTTCGTATTTATCCAAAAGGTAGATTATATATATAAAATTTAAATATATACATGTACATATTTATCTAAAAAGAAGATCATATAAATAAAATGTAAACATTTTGAATAAAATATAAAAGGTATAAATAATGGAATACGCTTAAAAGTGAAATGTATATTCTGGCTAAAACCCTAGTCTGATAGTTAGCATGGTTATATGTAGGGTATTAATTTTCTCGAGTTCGCTTCTCAGTCTTTAATGCTAGAGATCACCTTAATCATAATGATACATCTTCTAAACCATTCTCGAATATGCGTTAGAATACAATAACATGCACTCATTCGATTTCACAAAAGCAAAACTTACCAATTGATGAATATACGTGACTTTGTAATGCTCTATTATATATTAGACTGAAATCAAATACACTAAACCGAATAAAGATATTCCAAACGAGAGACCCATATTAATCCCGGCCGTAACAACCGAAAATAAAGAAACAAAAAACTACATAATTATTGTCGAGTATAACATCACCAATCAAGGAAAAAGAATCCTAGAGACAAATTCCAGAAATCGCAATGGATTAACCAAAGAACCAGTATGAACTAAAACAACAAACAATTTGCGCAATGAATAAACATTGCACCATTCATTTGCTTCAAAAATCACATCAACATACTCTCGGTCATTGTCATCCACACCGAACACGTGGTATGCGTCCTCGAACATAGGATAGACAACACCATGAACAGTCCTAATATCCTCAAAAGAACGTGGACCCTTGACTACATACAATAAAAAGTTGAAGATAATAGATCTCTCCGGATATGCCGAGACAATACATCAATCGATTTGATCGGGATGAATTCTCACATGAATGTCTCCAATGTTTACGGTTAACATCCCACTCCCAATTCAAAAGAAAACCAGCGTAAGTCAAGGACCTTGCTTTTGGAAAATTTTTATTGCATTCCATCCAACTCATAAACTTTTACTGGACCAATCCGTTTGACCGATGAGGGAGATGAAACTGTTGATTATATATAACTATCAAATATATATAGATTTAATGGCAAAAATAACCACATAAAAGCCAAATCGATAAAGCTAATAAATAAACCTCATCCAGAAACTAACCAGGTATAAACTCTGAAGACATCGTAAAAGAACACACGCAATGTCAACTGGATAACAACGAAAGACCTAACCTCAACAGCACACTAAAATAAATCACGCAAAGATCTTATCAGCAAAATGAAGTGGGAAATTATTAGAAACTAAACCTCGAGAAGGTGAGAACCACACAGCGGCTAATGAGGAGAAGGATGTGTTCTCAACCTAAAAGGGGATATGTTTTATATAGTTCCACAAGCCACCGATCTACTTGATAGTCCATCTAAACCTACTTATTAATACATATTAATTTTATAATAATACATATAAAACCAATCACAAACTAATTAGATAAAGACTATGAAATTAATTTTGATTAATTAATGTACTAAAAATCATCATGGTTTATTATCCTAATCATCAACAATATAATTTTGTCAATAAGTTTGGGTGGAAAATCATAATTTCAAATAATAGCCGGAAACTGCGGTAGAATTCAACAATATTATTGCGGTTAGTATATTAAAGATAAATAATAGCTAGATACGGAATTATCAACACATCAGACATCACCTAATTAGAAATAACGACAACCAACATAATGTGAAATTAATATTATTCAAACTGACTTTATTTATTAATATAGAGGCAAGCGAGGCCAAACACTCGAGATCTTAGTATATAGTACAATCCCACATAATAGTAGAATAGATAGATATATCATTATTTTTCATAGATAATACAGAGCGTTGATAATTCGAAACGCAGGTTTCCGTAGAAAATGTGATCTTTACTAAGATATAGAGGTTTCCGTAAAAACGGAGGATTCTGCAACATCACCAACATCACTACGCCTACATCAACATAAAGCTAATAGACTATTATCAATTAAATTCATGAATAGGAATCATATAATAAAAAACAAATAAGGAAAAACCAACATTTCTTGAAATTCACGGATAGTATCGGCGATAGGGTTGAACATAAACTCGGAGCATGGGTAATGAGATCGTAAAAACAACACTATTAGCATCAACATCTATAACAATGCCAAAACGCGATGAGATATGTTTGAAAACTAAATTT